CAGTGACATTTTCACTCCTGCAAGTCATGAGTGTCTTCTTGCTCAGCCTCATTACTGATACACTTAATTGTGGTGAACTCTACTTCCTCAAAAGGTACGCAGCAATAGGAATATCCTGGGGCTGTTCCAGGAGAGCTTTACATGAAGAAAGCTGTCTCTGTATCATGCTGAAGAGATATTCCCTTGTTGTCTGTGTCTCTGATGTTTTAAGGAAAGGGACAGAGTTTTCTTATATGTATCTGGGTCAGTAACTACACTTGTTTTCCCCAGTGAGATTGGGTTTTCCAGTCACTTTAACTCCTAGCACAATACACTGTATTCAAGGCTGCTATTTTCTTTGAGCGGGAGCAGCCTCCATACTGCGGGCTCTTTATTGCCCTAAGAGGCAAACAGAAGATGGAAGTAATTATGGGCTGATCAAACTGTAGTATAACAAGACTCAACAGATGCCAACTCTATTTTTTAAGGCTGAAAGCAATTATGCTATCTGTAAAAGTTGAGAAAGAAGATGAGAACAGCAAATCCATGATGAAGAGATGCCAAGTGGGACCTTATCAATAAAAGAAAATACAGCAGGCAATGCAATAGATCAAAGAATGCTGGTAGGACAAAAAGCTCCTTCGAACTGGAATTTCACAGTATTTCTTACCAGATGTTATCAGCATACACAAAATTCTGTCTCCAGCAAGACGATACTTGAAAAACATACATCAGGTGACACTTGTGGACAGCACATCTCTAAATACTGCACTAATTTAACCCCAAAACATTGTGACCTTCTGTGACCACCACACGCATTCTACATTGCAGCAGCTACCTACATAACTTTTGTAAAAATTTATTTTACTTCCATTTTGCTATGTTATTTAACCCTTTAATAAATGCACATGCTACTTTCTACAGCACTCTGAACACAAGGAAATCTAGGACTGGACAAACAAACGTGAGGACTGAGGGCAAAGAATCATAATCCATTTCACAATTACAGGTAAAGTCGTGATGTATCTCCTACAAGGAGAGAGAAATTAAGAAATCTGCACAACAGAAGGAAGTATGATGTCTCCCCTCTTGTTAGTATTTAAAAAAAGGTCCTGAAATACAACTGATAATCTGTTGTTTTTAAAATAAACAGAATCTCCACAAGATCTGGATTAGACTTTAAAAAATTACTGTTCACATCATGTCAGCATAAAAAATAGCAAAGATTATTCCACCTAAACAAATTGTAATATGCAATGGAAACACATATTTTACATGGAGTTTGTAGCCAAGCCATGGCAGAAGTCATTAATGCATTTGGAGCACAATTTCAAGGCCATTCGATGTTGACAGGGTTCTTCATATTGTCATAAACCAGTTTGGGATCGGTGCTTTGGAATAAGCCACTTGGAAAGGGACAGGATCTGAAGCTGCACTTACAATAACCATTGACTTTATCAATGGTTCCTAATATTCAAAAATCACTGGTCTTTGCCTCGGCTGCTATTGTGCTCTGATTGTCATTGCTGACATGCATAAGAGATCCCACGAAGTACCAAAACCAAGAAGCTGAAGAAAGTAAAAGATAAGTCTTATTTTTCCCCTTAATCTTTCTGTCTTTGCCTTAACTTTCTGACCCCCGGTTCAGGTGCGCAGCAGGGAAGTCCCACATCAGCCTCTGCACTGTAGGCATTGCTCTGCCATCTCTGTTGGGGTGCCGCACACCTTCCTCAACACAGCGCTGCCTGCCACACTGGCCATTGCTGTCTCTTTCTCCTGTTGCATTTCTTCTGAGTCAAATCCACAGTGTTAGACTGAAGAATTGTTAAGGATCATCTTTTCATTCTTTTCACACACAGCCCCCCACAAGGTTTTCCTGATCTAAGTTGTGAAGATACATTAACCGTGAATAAATAATAATAATACTGATAATATAAATTTATTAAAGTTGGTTTATAGTTAAGTCAATTTTTTCCAATGTTATTGTCTTCAAGGGTAGTAGCCTGCTTTGATTCCTATAAGAATGAAGTCTACAAGAAAGATCCCAGTGAAAAAAGCATACCTGCTACATGCTTCATGAGAGGATGCTTGAAGGCATGGCAGCTCCAGAAATGTGAATGACTGCCTCTCTGTGGAGAAGACCAACATGTGCACTACAACCTCCTGCGAGTCTGAACCTGACCATCCTCCTCAGCAGCTGCAGCCCCAAAGCAAGTCAGTCTAAGATGCAACCCTTGTATTTCAGAAAAACTTTACCACACTTGTTTACCAGATTTTAAGAGTCTAGAAGATTGCATTTCTTACGATGATTTCCCCTCATTCAGTCATTAGGTCTGTGCAAAGAAATGATAATCCAGCTGAGCAGCTAGATTACATCCTGAATTAAGATTAAAACATGCTATAAATCTGGGTGTGCTGACAAATATCTGCATGGAGACTGTGCATGTATGTGTAGGTAGGTACACACAAACACTCATACAGAAATAGCCTTAATCTGGATTTTATTTTATGTAGTGATGCAAGGTTCACATTTTACTGTAATGTTTATTTTTAATTCTCATTAGTTACAACCTGGTTTGGAATAATTAAAACATGTTACCTACTTAATAGGAGTGCCACTTTGACTAGAATTAAAACCAAAGGTACAATGAAAGCAAAAGATTAAGATTAGTTTTGAATTTAGAAGTCTTATGTATGATGCTGCAGCTGAAAAAATATTTAGGGATCCTTTATCCCATTCAGGCAGACAGGTAAGTACACCTATTTTTTTGCATCTACTCCTCTAACAACAGTTTTGTACCTGGGACAGAAATTGGAAATTGGCATTCCTTGTATTTTATGCTAGGAAAAGGTCATCATGTCTCTGTTTTTTTCTATCCTCCTCAATAATCTGATGTGCTTTTAAATTAAATACAAAATGCCTTTACACTCTTCTTCGAAAATTAGAGGAAAAATATGGGTTAAGAAAGCTATACTTAACAATATTGTTCAGGATTTACTAAATCTAGAAGCAGAACTTCAATGAATAAGAAAAAGCCACAAAGCTCACTTTTGTTGAGAGGTAACAAGGAGATATAAAAGCCAAGATTTACCCTACATATATGGCAAATTATATACAAAATATCTTTTATTATTGTTTATTAAGGGCCACCAAAAATGCCTTCAAGTTTGAAATAGAATGTGTGTTAAAAGTACTGAACAGAAAATGTGGTACTTGTCTACTGTTTAATGCAGCTGCTACCATTATCCTTTAGGTTTCAGAATAACAATTGCTAAGATGAAATCTATCTATCAAAAAAGCTTTGAGTAATATGAATAAGAACAATATCAAAATTACTCAAATTGTTTTGTTTATCTGTTAAGACTTTTACAGTTGCTAATTAGCTAAGAGGTCTTAATGAAGCATCCATGTATACACTATTGGTATCTAATATAGATATTTGTTGATTAGGATCTTACAATTAGAGACAGTTTTTAAAACAAAAAATGTTGCAACAACCATCCTCATAATTACAAATTTGACTCTAATTATGCTTCATTCTTTTTTTTTTCTCTTGACAAATCACAGATTTTCCTCAGGGTCAGCAGGGGTGCAGGGGAAAGGGGAAGAAGGCACGTTCTCTTCATAAAAGCATTCTTAAAAGCATCTCATGCAGTTTTCATGAATGACTATATCCCTACAACAAAAAACCTAACAACTCAGCTACCCAGTCACAAATTTTGTTATTGTGGACCATAGGCAGGCTTGAACAGGAGAGAATGCAAGAATGCAGCTGACTGTAGAAAGAGATCCCAGTTCACGTAATAACAGTATAATTACTGTGTTAAAATGAACTAGATTAATTATAATCTGTCTGTATATAAATAATTTTCTTTCACTGCTGCTACAGGAATAAAATTTGTGATCATTTGTTTCATTTGAATGTGAAGCAGATGATTGATTTCTGTTACAGAGATTAGAATAGAGATCTGTCCTGCAAACTTTCTACATGCAGCACATTCATTTGTTTTGGGCAAGAAAAAACTGAAGGACACTTGAGCAGATAAAGCTCTAAGGACTAGAAACTGAGATCAGTGACATAGCTGTATATATCCCTTCAACTCTGAACAGTAACAATGTTCCTGTCCAAATAAAGTCCAAACTTCTCATCTGAATTGATATTCTCACCCTCCTCCTCTCTTTCTGAAAGCACACAGTCCCTATATGGCAGTTTTCTTAGAGGAATGTCTTTTTTCTCAGCCTCAGACATGCTCTCCAATTATAACTTGGCCTCTTGCCTCATTTGCTTGCAGTAACACACACTTCATGACCTGACCCACAGCACTTCGTATTTATTTGCCTCAGTCACCTCTCTGTAATGTTCTGGAGGAGGCAAGATTGGTTCTGATATTCCCCTGGCTGATGCCATAGCAATTTAAGAAGTCAAACAGATCCTTGGCTGGAAACTCGTGCATTTAGAAGCCAGTGAATGTTCGGAGCTGTAGTGTCTTAAATACACAACTTTACACACATGCATGCTTACCTCCCCCCCAGTTTCTGTTTCTGTGGTTTAAGCAAACTAGTCAATTCTTCTGAAAGTTGTGTTGAAGGAAAATAGAAGAACTGTCCTTAAAGTTCTGGTATCACTGGCTCCCTAAAGCAAACCACGAACAAAAGTCCACCAAGTGAAATCGAGTCAGCCCTGTCAAGCCAAAGGCTACAGCTAGCCAGTCATTAAGACCTGAATAAAGGATGCTGTTCGAAACTAAACTTACATTTGATCTCTATTTCTTTGTTGATATTATAAAGCAATCACTTCCTGAGGGTTTCCATAGTAACAAGTGAGATAATTTTTTATTTTAAAGCTCTTTCATGCACTTAACATACAGATGCAGTGGGATAATTGGCAGGGAATACTGCTTCTGCTTTCCTGGTATTATTTAACCAGAGCAGGGTGAAGTAAAGCATGGTTTTCAATGAAACTGGAGATTTATTTTCCCTCCTCTGTAAGAACATCAAAAAAACTTTACAATTTACTTACATCTTTGGTTTCTGCGTTTGCTCTTGTACATAGTCATTCTGAAGAAAATCCACTTTCTAAGAAGTAATTGCCTTGAACACAGACAAAAGAGATGAGATCGTGCTTCTGCTTTGCAGTGAGACAGTTGCTCACTGACAGAAGGTAACCAGCAATCTCTCAGAGAAAGGCAGGGTAATACCATTCTCCTAAAATCCAGGGGAGATGCTACTGGCTCTGACTATTTTCTCTGTTACAAACCTCAGAGATGAAAAATACTTATTTTCATATTTTTTCAAATGTGTTTGATACCAGCTAATAAAATCAAGAAAGCAGACAGAATTGTGTAATCAGACAAAATGGAGTAATGTGCTATTTGACAGAATGACATCAAGATTCCTTGAAAAAGCCCTGGTATAACCAAAATTGCATAAATGACCTCAGAAACTAATGAAAACTAAGTTTTCATTAACAGGACTTAGAATTATGCAGAAGAGGATATTAAAATATTTTGGGCTAAATTTCCAAATGAACTTACTACTAAAAAAAGAATCAACACCATGGTCAATGAAATCCTGACTGCAGGTCTGAGCTCGTGAATAGGTTATTCAGGAAATGACACATAAAATGCAAATTTCTTTTTTTCATGCCCATGTTGCTTCTGCATTACCTTTAAAAGATTTAGCTTGGGGAAAGTTATTTAAGCATCATTCTGCTGATTGTTCTTTTTTATAACTGCTTCATTGCCCGCTAGTCTGTTGAATCACAAGGTCATGGGAAAAAAAAGTGGCAGCATTGTATGATTTTTCACATATATGTACGTCACTGTTTCAAAGAATCCAAATGTCTTACTAAAGGGAACAGGGGAAAGGGGAAGAAATTCTTGCTGTGTTGGGGAGATGAGAGGTATGACGACGTGCAAGAAAGAAGATGCCAGTGGCAGGTATGGAACTGGAAAGAGGTGGAAATTCCACTGTGTTCAGCAGTAAATCTGCCTTCAATAAAGTTGTGTGAAAGTATTTCTTAATGTTTTAAGAAATTCATGTTTTGAGGTGCCCGTCATGTTTTGAGATCTTGATCCCGGACACCACAAACACAGAAGTGTCAACGGATTAGAGACAGAGGATATGATAATGAAAAAATAAGAAGTAAAGTGATTGAAATATCTTGAAAACTAATAGTAATAGTCTTATTGCTGTTTAAAATGCATAGTTTGACAACAGCTCTCTAAACTGCTCAAAGAAATCTAAAGCTAATATCTTTGGCTTACATAAAAAATTTTAACATTTTGTGCCTATGGATCATTCATGTTTTAGAAAATAAAAAACAATCCCGATCAAAGGAAGAAACAGTTTGTAGCATCCATTCTCTAAAAATACTGACCTACAGTTATTTTCTTCACAAAAAAAATTAAAAGAAATTAAAAGTAATGTCTATCTCAAACTGTCTACCCTAAAAAAATACCTTTCTCCATCTTTGTTTCCCCCTCAGATTTTTGTTTATATCTCTAGTATAACCATTTTCAGCTTTGCGCATCATTTCATTTTCTTTTCAGTTGTTCAGCATTTACATATCCTCACAATGGCACACCTCTAGCTACTGAAGTGAAATCTTTACTTTATATTGGCTCTATTAATCTAATTTTCCTTCCTATGTCAGAACCTTACCACAAATCTTTTCATTTTCTTTGGATTTGTATCAGCATAACTGAGGATAAAGTGTAGCCTGAAGAAAGTGAAACCAATGGATGCATTTTTTAGATTTATTTGGTATTTCAACTACAGTCATCTCAAAATGCCACAGTTGAAGTAACACCATCTCTATTGTGGAGGTCAGCAGAAAGGCAGGAAATTGCAAAGCACTTCAACAGCGACAGGAAGGAAAAAAATCAGCGAAGTCATTGCTAATCATAGCGGCAAGACAAAATGTCTGTACCATATAGAAAGAACCTGCATGCCATATACTCAAACAGCATTGCACAGTTCATACTCACTGAAGTCAGTATTTTTGCAGTATTTTTTATGCACAGAGGATAATTCCCTAGTTATCCTGCTTTATTTTTTTCTGTGAGTTGATTTCCAGCAGAATCAGGTCTGTGATCTGACTCAGACTACAGAGATCTGTGGCCTCCCTTTAGATCTGCTGCTTCGTGTAGCAATCTTTGTTCCCTTTTCTTGCTCTTTTCCTACTTCTACCTGTAGGCTGCCATCCATATTACTGAGTTCAAGTTTTCCTTCTTTAATTCATTTGGTAAGATGTCTTCAGTCTTTTTCCTGAAACCACATGAGATCTTAACTATAGAAATAATTCCTTTTCCTTATCATTAATGGCTATTTTCTCATTAATTTTTATCATGTGTGTAACCTAGACGTATATTACTAGCTCTCTGTATTGTATTACATATAGCACATTGTGCTGGTTTTGGCTGGGATAGAGTTATTTTTCTTCCCAGTAGCTAATATGAGGCTGTGTTTTGGATTGATGCTGAAAACAGTGTTGAAAACACAGGGATATTTTAATTACTGCTGAGCAGTTCTTACACAGAGTCCAGGCCTTTCCTGTTTCTCTCACCACCCCACCAGCGAGTAGGCTGGGGGTGCACAAGAACCTGGGAATGGACACAGCCGGGACAGCTGACCCCAACCGACCAAAGGGACATCCCATACCATGTGACGTCATGCTCAGAGTGGGGGGAGAGAAGTAAGAGGGGGGGGACTTTTGAAGTGATGGCATTTGTCTTTCCAAGTAACCTTTACATGTGGTGGAGCCCTGCTTTCCTGGAGATGGCTGAACACCTACCTGCTGATGGGAAGTAGTGAATGAATGCCTTATTTTGCTTTACTTGCATGCACAGCTTTTTCTTTACCTATTAAACACTCTTAATCTCAGCCCACGAGTTTTCTCACTTTTACCCTTCAGATTCTCTCTCCCATCCCACCTTGGGGGGGGAGTCAGCAGGCAGCTGTGTGGTGCTTAGTTACTAGGTGGGGTTAAACCACGACACACATGTAACAACATGCATATATTTCCATTGATCTTTTATTCATTATTCTATTACAACAATGTATTTGTATGCAAATGTCTTGGCAATGGTATAGTATAAAAATACAAACTAAATGAAAATTTAATGAAATAGGAATTAATGTATTTTAAATCAATGAACCCTGAAAACACAGTCTTTATTGGTTTTACACTGTGTTAATTGCAACTCTGATTATTTCTTCAGTACGTTGAAATGCATTTGCTAATAATAAATAGTGTAAATACACTCTGGTGAATCATTCTAGGAGGAAAGATTTGAATGCGCTGCCTAGCTTTGAGTGGGCACTGCAGGCTCCTGTTTCTCAATGTTACTGTTCATTCTTAGGGGAGATGAAAATTCAATTTTACACTATTACACCTTTAAAAACGTCAGAATCCTGTATATGGCTGGTTAAATGCAGTAAGCCTAATGAGGTGGGAAGAAATGAATGGAACGTCTCAGCAGCAAAAATCACCTAATCACATTAAGCTTATTACCTTTCTACAAAGATGCTTGAAAGATTAAAAAAAATTTAAAATATTCTTAAAAGTCTGTTGGAATGAATTTTATCACTCGTTGTTGCTAGTGGTAAAATAATTAATGATGTCTACCTCTGTGCATCCCATTTCACGTCTGACCTTTCTGTCCTCCCCACCCTACATGTCCAAATAAGGAAGTTTTTTCTGAATACTGCAATACATTTCTAAAACTGTTTCCTAAGCAGAGGCAAATAAAAAATACAGATATTTTACAAATAGAACTGCTGACTTGAATGTCACATAAACACTTAGTCTGGGCTGTATCCTCAATTTTATTTTTAATGAGCAGATCTTAGACAAAAAAAGGAAGATGGGGGAGGCTTGAAGTATGTTCTGTCTCTCGGTGTTTAATTCAATGCACTCAAAGAGTCTTCTTACATAATATCCTTCTAAGGTTTCCAGTATGGTTATTTTTATAATGTCAACTAAGAAAATATTACATCTATGAAAGGAAATTAATTTTTTTCTTGAAATAAATGATATGTGTAGTGATCAACATTTAAACTCTTTCAAGTCATAAACACTCCCTAATACAGTTATTGGTGTATTAAAATTGTGTACTTGACATGTGTGTACCTTTTACTAGTAAAAATTTGGAAAATCATGTGACAATAATGCTTTATAACATGATGTTATATTAGATAAATAAGATTCACTTTACCAGGAAATGCCATTTAACTATTAAGGCAGATTTGTGATAACATATTCCCTTTACCATGCAATGACAACAGAGCTTAAAATATTGGCTTAACCATATCCTTGACTAACACCACCATGCTGTGGCAAGCAAAATAAGAAAGAGTAAAATTTGTACTTCTTGTGTTTATAACTATAAGTTAGAGTTTCATATATGCTTTTCAGGAGACAACAAAGCTGGCTAGCAGTCCTGAAACAGACCAGAAATAAAGACTGATGAGAGTGCCAAAGAAGGACAATTTTATTAAAAGGCTACCTGTAGACTATAGGGCTTGATTCAGCTTTGTAAAGTTTGACATCTAGCAATACTTCGTTGATTTATGGCATCTGAGACATCCACATGATGCCAGAAAATATGGCACGGGACCTGTATGAAACCTACAACCTTCTGGAGCACTCTGCTGAAGCCAAATCCATCTTAAATGGCTCTAGGCAAATATTTAGGCAACTGAACCCAGCCCAAAGAGTTTACATTTTGCCCTCTTTCTGATAACTGTTGTTATTTTTTGGCTTTTTTATACTTAGGGTTATTGTTTCAAAGCGTTCCCAACTTGAACTCTCAGGCTTTGACCCTGCACAAGTCCATGGATACATGTGGAGGAGAACCCCTACAGAGATCCACTGACACCCAGGTGGGGAAGAGAAAAAATCCTGCCTGTCTCAGGCCTGTGATTGATTGCAGTAGGAATTATATGGAAAGAGAAATGATAAGATGTATGACTGAGAATTTTTAAATATCCTCAAAGAGGCTACTGGTTTTTTAGTACACAATCCATAGCTGATTGTGTGAATTAAAAAATTACATGCATAAAAGAGAAATAATGTAGCATAATACGTTCAAATCAGTAGTACTTCCATCTACTAAAG